TGCTTTATATACATCATGTGTATGTATATTCGAATACACTTATGTGCACCCTGCATTTCTACATTAGCCAAGACTACTCATATATGTTCAATTTGTTTCCCCATACTTTGGTGCTTTTTCTTTATTTTTTGATCAGTAAATACACGACCAGAATGTAATAGACTATGTAATTACAACTTAATTGACAAAGGTAATTTTTCCTAAGTGCATCATATATCCACAAATGTAATTATAACTTAAGTTGCACTCCAAATTATTTTTAATTGCAACATACATTTACACAAATGTAATTATAAAAATTTGCACAGGATCATATTCTGAAGTGCACACTTCATTCACAAATGTTGCATTAGCCCAATAATTTGCACCAGAAATATTTTCAAGTGCACCCTGGATTTACACACGCTGCATTAATAATTACTTTGAATTCTATACATGCACAATCGATTATCTCATGCAAAATTATTTACTATTTGAAAATATTGGATGTTATGCAATTTAATTAAATTAACTACAAGCATAAATCAAATTAAAGAAAACTCATGTAAACCTGGAACATATATTAAAAAGAAATTGTATTCAACGTCTTGAATCACACACAAACATTAAGTATAAACGTTTTTTTAATTTAAAAATCCAAATACGTCATTGTAAACTGTAATGTGAAAACAGAGTCAAACTGATGTGAACTTCAAATTTCACTAAATTCACTAATTGGCCGCTACTCCCTTCTTTCGGTCTGCCAGCATTTGTTTCTCTTCTTTAGCTTTCTTTGCAAAATTCCTTGCCTTCACTAAGTTTGACTGCATGTACTCATTATTTTCATTCAGGAGAATTGCAGAAATGTACTTTACGCGTAACATCCCTACCAGTTTTGTGTCTGTTTCCTTCAGCCCAATATTCCATCCTTGCAAGCCTTGACCTTGATATGTTTCCATATGCTGCATTGTGAAAATGCTGTAGTCGTACAAGTTCTTCGTCTGCCTCCACTCCATTCCTAGCCTCTTTGGTGTTGCCTTCCTGACTTTCTCAGATTTGATCATCATATTTCTTGAATCCATGTACTTCACAAACATATTTATCTACACAAAAATAATTTAATTTATCACGTACAAAAATAATTACAACAGTGCACCTTACCCTAAGTACTAGTTACATAATATTATTGCGTACCACAATTTGAGGCATTTCCCCGTATTATCAATATTGCGCGCTCTAGGAGATGAGCTATCAATGATATCCACACGCTTCAGCTTAGTATTCAGACAAAGTACATAGCAATGATGCACTTGCATGATCGGGAAGAAAAACTGCACCAAAATAACCATTTTTTACAATTTGCAAATTAATATCAATGCATTATAATTCAATAAAACATGCATACCAAATCAACTTTTGAAAGTGCAGTGTGGACTTTTATTGCTTCCAACCCAAACTCAATGGCTTCCACAAAAAGGGGGTAAGCACTGTCAGCACTCAATCCCAGGTCTGCCTGTGTCTCAAGCTACAACACAATTCCAAAGTACTTAAACTCAGTTGTATGTAATATTTATACATTGTGTACTAAATATAATTTAAAATAAATAAACAAAACAATTAGTTATTTTTTAATGTGTACTTACATAGGGCAAGACTTTAGACAATACTCTACTGGCAGACTCACTGCTTCGGTCTTTCTCTTTACAATTTAGCGTGAATGCCTAAGCATTGATTACACTTTCCTCGATGTGGCAACCATCCTTGATGCTCATCAGTTGTCCACGGGTAAGCTTCAATTGGTTAAGGCCTTTGAAAATAACATCATTCATATACAGTTTGCATTCAATTAGTTATGTGCATGCACTAATATTTTCCCACATGTTTAAAGTAAAAATAAAATTTGGATTTCACAGTGCACTTACGCATCTCCATCAACGTCAAAAAGTATCCAACCGCCCATTGCGCGTTCAACTACGGTTAATGCATCACTTGGATCAATAACTCTTCTTAAGTAGGGTGATTTCATTGTTGCTCCAGTCGTTTGTTTTCTTTTTAGCTGCTCCAATTCTTCTGTCTCTACAATCTCTTGTTGGCATTAATGTAAAAAAATATTAACAGAAATAGTACTCTTCACTTTTCAAGCAAACAAAATCTGCATACACCTTCTGGTTCATCTGCACTCAATCAAAACGTCACTCCTTTTTAAAGTTTTTTTATTACCTTTCTGAATTCCGGAAAGGGATTGACATGTGAACTTGATTGACCCCCACCCGCTACCATTTCCTCATTTAAAACAAACTGCACACTGTCATCGGCTTTGTCCTTCCCCTTTTCATGTATATTGTTCTTCTCAAACCCCAGAAGAGCACCATCTCTTACTTCATTCGGTGCAATGTCTTGTGTGAGACCTATACTAAAGGTTGGCAGATCTTCCCTCCTTTGAGGAACGTTTGTTCTATTTATACCATCCACCTCAGCGTGTGCTAAGATTTCAAGGTTGACTGGGTTCGACCAAAATACCTCCATCTCCCTGTCCATCTGTGTAGGTGTGGCAAAATCCTGAGAATGCTTCTATAAAATAGCCATCAACATATTCGTCGCTTCACCTACCTCTTTGAACTCTTCACTTCCACGAAGTACATCGGGAGCTTCATCTAACATATTCATGATTTCAGTCGTTGTCTTAACAAATGTGCTGGTCTTATTAGCAAAGCGTTTCCGAACGTCCTGTAATTTGCAAAAAAGAAGATAAATTATGTATTCGCTAACTTAGAAGCAACAATCTGGAAACGGAGGAGTCAAGCACACAACAGTACACATAATTGCACATCAGAATAACTAATCTGCACATTAACTCCTCCATAAGCATGCTAGAATACAAATAAATGCACCCCACATGTAGTCTTCTGTTTGCACATAAACACATTATTTTCTTATACCTCTTCTGCACCCGGTGCTGTCGAGGGCTCTCCCACATCCTCTGTTTTATCTTCAGCAGTGACACTTTTCCCGGTCTCTCGGGTGATTGTCATCTTCTCGTCTAGATACCCTAAACCAAATCCTCCAGCCTCTATTTCTTCTGATTCTCTCTCCCTCAATAACGGTGTGTTCCATCCTATTAGAGCTGGAACCTTCCTTGGAACGCTTTTTCTATATACCACCATCCTATCCAGATATAACACCTACAAAATATATGAATAGAAGAATTACTTCAACTTTATTAACGCTATTCATATGAATATTAACTTCATCAGATGCACATCAAATTTTGCATACTCATTATTGATTTCCAGCTTTACCTTAAGTATTGTTCACATTGTTTTCCATCACAAAAGATATCACTTAATATGGCCTTAAAATGCTAGTTCACTTGACTGTAAATGCACTTTCAGAAACTACAATTCCTAACTAAATCACTAATTCACCAGTCTTATGAACAAATCTTAAATTCATGCACCACACCTTTTATAAAACTGGACCCAACCTAAATACCACACACTCTGCATATTCAAGTACTTTAATATGCATACTAACTTCATCACAATCACATCAAATCTTGCACACTCAACATTCATTTGCACCTTTACCTTATCTATTATGCACATTGTTTTCCATCACACACAATTGACTTAATGTGGCCTTAAATTGCATTTTCACGTAACTATGAATGCACTTTAATAAACTCGCATTAACAAACAAATCAAAATTATTCATCATTCTTATAGAACAAATCTTAAATACATGCACCACACCTTTTATAAAACAGGACCCTACCTAAATATCACACAAACTACATATTGAACAACATTCATATCAAACTAGGATGCACTTACCATCAAGAAAATGAGCGGACCAGTGAATGCTTTTTCCTTTCCTTGAGCCCATTCCCTTTTCTTCTCAATTAGAGCCGTTATCACGTATTCGCACCAATTTAAATCTTTAATTTTTTTTGTATCCTTCAAATTGTTTATGAAGGAGCAGTTGATGTATACGTTTCTTGTATTCTCTATCAACGTAGATATAACAAGAATTATGAAGTTCCTTAACCAATCTACTCCTTCCTCACATCTTAGCATTTCACGTGCCACCTCTATTGGAGTTACCTTATCTTTCCTCCAAAAGAAGCCCTCCACTCATCCACCATTTCACTTTTCTCCCCTTTCCCCTTCTTTAACACTGCTGTTTGACCACGTGGAAACCCCAAAACCATCTCCACATCTTCTTCAGTGATGTGAACTTTCCTTCCTTTACCTATCTTCAGTGAACAACTAATTGGGTCGAAATTGTCCACAATCCAATAACCAAGTTTAGAAGGCAACTCTTGGATTCCTAGTTCTAATAACGATCCAAAGCTTACTTCATGCACTTGTTCTCGCTGTTTGTTAGTCAATTTCGCCAAAGCATTCATCACCACATTCGGTGATGATCTTGTGTATATGCTATGGTACTGCACCTTCAGCTCATTCAAAACAGCCTTCCTCTCCTTCTTTTTTGGTCTGCCCTCACATGCTCTATCGTTTTTCACCACTTCTTTTGGTAAATTAACGAAGTCTTCATCACTGACAGCTTCTTCCCTTTCATTCAAGTCTTCCTCACTGCCCTCTTCGATATCAGGCACCACCACATCCTTAAGTTTTTCATTACACACTTCCCTCTCCTTATTTAGCCTTCCACTCCTTCTTTCGCTACTTTCTTGCACACCGCTTCTGCTTCCACGAGCACCCTTAGATCTTGCACATTCAAATTAACAGTTCATTGAAAATGGCACTACATTAATGAGCACATCATTTTAGTATTATTTGCACCGTTTTAATTCTAATTCACTTCGTAGTATATGTATTTCAAATGAATGTAATTTAATAAAAGTTCACATCTAGGAATGACATTTGACCAACACATAGTGGGGACAGTAGGTTGTAATCAAACCTTCAACTGGGCCACTCCTTGATTTCTCCGTTGCAACACCTTTTGCCTTTTCCTTTTTCAACATTCTCTCAACCTCTTTTTGCAACAATTCAAGACCCAAAGTGTCTTCTACAAATGAACCTGCATTTGAGGATAATTCTTTCTCATTAATACACCATAAACTATTCAATACAATGAATATTTACTATTACTGACCTTGGAATTCATGTCTGGTTTTGCTCCTAATTTCCTGTAGCTGCATGCTCAATTCCTTTTGTTTGTTAAGCTTAGAATGCAACTGCATGAGCCGACTAATCTTGTCCCCTAAAATTTTAATCAAATCTCACACTCAAATTTAGTAGTACACACAATTGAAACAATGAAAGTATAAATTTACTAACCATCACAGTCAGGCATCAATTGTACTTGTTTCCCCTTATTAATCACCTTTTTCTTTGCCATACTACTCCCAGATGGTGCCGCTTTCTTTCTCTTTTGTACATCTGTTTGGTGGTTTTGTCCAGTTCCTAATTAGTTTGTTAGATTACTTAGTACACTGTCATGAATATGCCCACCAAACTACATTCATGTGCATCTTAACTCCTTGTTGAAAAAACAATGCTACGATTAATGATATGTCGCACATAATGCAATCAATAACATATTCAAATACACCCACTGCTTAATTCAAAACAAAATACATATTCCACTACAATCATCTGCATCTTAAGTACTTCTCTAAGATATCAGTTATGACATGAATGTTTACCAACATTATAAGCACCTATAAACAATTTCTAATGCACTTACCGTTTCTCTTTGCATAACAACCAATCTTCATCTGCATATTAATTCCATCACCCAAAAAATGAATATGCATTTGAAAACAAACCCTGTCTGCATTTATTTCACAGTTCAATTGCATCTTTATTTAATGTCTTGTGCACCATAACAATCTAAGTTATTTCTAAGTTTTTTCATCCACACCCAACAAAATTTTTTATCTGCATTTTAACTACCATACACAACTTCCTCAAACACAAGTCAATTGCACCTTTAGCTAATTTATTTTGCCCCAAGCAATGAACAAATAAACTATTTACTTGCACCCTTGATTACTTCAAAGTTGCCTCAACTGCACCCCACCTATCTTGGTCTTCAAACCAAATCACCTAAATTGCACCAATATGTAATCTATTTTGCACCAATAACTATTCTAATCAAAATCAATCACCATACACGAACATAAAAACCAACATTCATACTAAGATTAGTCTACTGTATTGCACCTTTACCTAATCCATTTTGCAACACCATTTTGTATAATCAGGATACTCACTCAACAAACACGAACTCCAAAAACAACATTGATACTAAGAGGTCGTTTGGCAACCCTCCTTTTCGGCTTATCAGGCTTATCAGCCAACTTTTTTACCAAACATGTAAATTTTGCTTTCGCGCGCTGAATTATGTAATAAGCCGAAAAAGTAAGGTTGGAGTTACTTTTCTAGCTGTATTGGCTGAAGTTACTGTAGATGCTCATTTTAGCTATTTTTACATATAATTTTTTCTTTATTTTATTAACAAAATATGTTTTAAAAATATTTTTTTCTTGTATTAGCAGAATCAGCCAATGCAGCCACTTCAGCCAGAACTTCATAAATTTCAGCAGAATCAGCCAAAACAGCCGATTTTCGTGCTACCAAACGAGCTCTAAGATTACTCTAATCTATTTCATCTTTACATAATCTTATTTGCACAATACTTAATCTAATTGTGAACACCCACCAACCACGAACACACAAACAAACATTCTCGGTGCAAAATGCCATTTTCCCTCAAATTCAACTCCATATTATTAATTAACAATTACACATTACTAACTTCAACAAAATCCAAAAACACATTACATATGCAGTCCATCACAAATGCATGCACACATTCCTCCTTGTGCATCTAACATACAACATCCTCCATGCAAACATATTAATCTAAACAACAGAACTACCTTCTTCGCAAGCCAAAGCAGCTTGTCGCAAAGCATGTTCTTCTTGAACTGAAGCCATTTGCGCAAATGGAATTTCACCGGTCGTTGATCTTCACAAACGACGTTCTTCGTCTACACTGAAGCTTTCGCCGCTCTCAAGCAAATATTTCGGCTTCTCAGACCTTTGCTAGTTGGAGCATTAAACAACCTCTGCATCTTTCCTTAATTTGATTTGCTATACATGGGCGGTTCGAATCTAAGTAGGGATTATGCGCAATACCAATTTCCTTCCTTTTCCGTATTATGGCGGTTCCATTAAAAAAAATCAAATGACATCTTTATCCCTAATTACTAAACGGGTTTTCAAATACCTGTTCCCCTCCTTCGCAGATCATGAAACAAAATGGTGAGGAACCTATTTTGGGCCACTGATTTGCCTAAATCGGACGCACGACATTAATTTGCATTTTGTATGGGGAGAAGTGTTTGTATGTGATCTCTTCCCTATATATATATATATATATATATATATATATAGGGGTGAGATCACATACAAACCATGCTCAATTTACTAACCTACAAACTCAATAATATGCAACACTTTTAACTTTAATATGCAGTACAAATAATGTAAAGATGCACACTTTGAACTTCAATATGCAATACAAATAATCTAAATATGAAACTGTAATTTTATTGCTTGAATAATATGCAACACTTTGAACTTCAATATGCAATACAAAAAATGTAAAGATGGCATGCATGAGAGGACTAGTTTGTATGTGATCCCGCTTCTGCACCTTTACATTATTTGTACTGCATATTGAAGTTCAAAATGGTGCATATTATTGAGTTTGTAGGTTAGTATTTTAAGCATGGTTTGTATTTGATCTCTTGTATATATATATATATATATATATATATATATATATATATATATATATATATATATATATATATCACAAATGTTCAGGTCAGGTATTCCGGACCAGAACCGCCGTCCGGACGGCGGCGTTTGGACGCCTTCTCGGTGAAATTTTTTGATGCAATTTTTATGGCATGTTCTTCATCAAGTCTAGTTTATCCACAAAGATATTCACGTAAAAATGAATTCGGGAAGGTCGTCAAATAGGTTTTGGAAGTTAACTGCGTTTTATATGTATTTTCCGGCGCAGTTATCTTTCAAAAATCATTTGACGATCTTCCCGGTTGAGTTTTTAACTGAATTGTTTTGTGGATAAACGAGACTTGATGAAGAACATGTCATAAAAATTTCATCAAACAATGTCACTGGGAAGAGCCCTAAATGACGCCGTCCGAACGGCGCTTCCGGTCAGGAATTCCTGACCGTAACACTACTATATATATATATATATATATATATATATATATATATATATATATATATATATATTTAGGTTCAAGTGAGAATAGCATCTTAGGAGAGAAATGAGAATAAATATAGACCATTAGATTATCTCCTAATTCCACCATGCTACAAATCTGCCGAAGGGGCTATTATGCCATTTCATATACGTATTTATTACCTTCCAAAATTTTAGGCACTACCGTTTGATTCCTTCCTTTTGAATATATTTGATTATTTATTATGTCTTTATCATTTCTATGAGTTAGCCTCAAATTGGTTTAATTTTTTCATTCTACACCTTCTCTTATCCGGTTGTTTTCTTTTACGTAGTGAGTAGCTTAAACAATTTTTTATTTTTCTTTGTGCTCTTTAATTTATTACCAATCTTGAAATTGTAGTATCCCAAAATACATTATTTTATAACATATTATATAATTGTGCATTTTTAGTTTATTATAAATTTACAGGATGAGTAGGATATTGCATAATCTGAATTTGATCATTTGTGGCCTCAAATTTTATAGTGCAACTTTATGTTTTACACGGTGCACAAGTGAATTACATAAATAATGTTCAAAAGTGCACAAATGCAAGAGAAAGGTGCAAAGCGATTCAATGAAAAACGCTATTCAAAAAAGTGCAAGATATTCTAATAAAAAGTGCAAGAGAGATGCTAGTTGAGAATTTGTTATATTTATACGTTATGCATTTTTAATAAATTACGCAGTATTAAAAATCAAATAAATCCACACTTTATATGCTTAGGTGCACAGATTGATTTTTATAGTGCAACTTTATGTTTTACACGGTGCACAAGCGAATTGCATATATAATGTTCAAAAGTGCACAAATGCACGAGAAAGGTGCAAAGCAATTCAATGAAAAGTGTCGTTCAAAAAAGTGCAATATAGTCTAATCAAAATAGCATGATAAATTCTAGTTGAAAATGGGTACATTTATACGTTACAAGTTTTAAGAAATTATTAAAAATCAAAGAAATTCACTTTTTATATAATCATCCTGAAAAATAAATAATGGTGTTGAATTTTTTATTTCATATAGCACCTTTTATATAACCACGTTGCATTTTATGCAAAATGTATATGTTATATAATAGAAAAGTGCATCTAGTCTAAATATTTAATTAAATTGATGTGTTGCATTATATTTGGAATAAAAGTCCACTTATTCAACGTTGGAGTGCAAAAATACAAAACTAGGTGGATGATATATTGTATCAGGAAACATGATTAAACATGAAAAATGCATAATTCAAATAAAGTTTTTTATAAAATTAGCGTGAGAGATTACTAAATTTAAAAATAAAATTTAGTAATAACACTAAAGTGGATTGTTATTTGAAAAAACAATGCAATCTTCACAATTAGAAGATGCAAATGAATATGGGCAATGGTGCACTCGGGCAAATTTAATTGAATTTCTTGATTGTATTTATTATTTAAAATAACAACCCAAATAAATCAACTATTAAAGAAAGAATTATCCAGATTAATAGGTTGCCCATACTTCATTTAATGATGAGAACCTATACATATGGAAAATTGAGCTACGGTTGTTGACTATCCATATTAAATAATTGTGACTTTTACAATTCTATCCTTAGTGCTAAAACTGTTCCTGTTATGATAATAATAGTCATTCAAAGATCAACATAATTACCATGATACCACAATCAATTTGCATTCAATCGCAGCCTTTGGTTTAATATATTTGATGGATGAATTTCATTCTCATTTCTCTCATAAGAGAACATTCTCACCTAATTGCAGATCATGAAACAAAACGGTGAGGAACCTATTTTGGACCACTTGTTTGCCTAAATCGGACGCACGACATTAATTTGCATTTTGTATGGGGAGAAGTGTTTGTATGTGATCTCTTCCCTATATATATATATATATATATATATATATATATATATATATATATATATATATATATATATATATATATATATATATATATATATATATATATATATATATATATATATATATATATATAGGGAGCGGTTCCGGTGAGAAAGCACTCCCATGAGAGAAATGAGAATACATCTCATATGTTAATCTTATGTTTTTAATGGCACAAAGATATTGATGCACGATTATTATGCTGCACTTGATTGCATGATATCACTTCCCTAAAAAACTAAATGCGCGTATGCTTATTTGAGGAGGGCATATGAGTAACTCCAAGATTAATTACCTTATATACTAATACGTACAATTTAACACATTCCTTATCAATATGCAACCGCCCACTTCTATGTTCCTAAATTTTCGTGTTGTTCATAAGTAATGTTTTTCCTCCACTATCATAATATAATAATAATTATTATTATTATAATATGAGCTACGGAGTAATGTTTATCATTCACTTGCATCCGTATTTTATTAATACAATACATATGTGCAGTTTGTTTTCTATATGAATGCAATTATATGTTCACACTGAAAGTGCACAAGTAAATAAACCGAGTCAACTTTCATTGTGTTAGGTCA